GGTGAGCAATCACAGTACCTGGTTTTAACTTCATATTGTGGAAGGAGGCATTAAGAAGGGCAGGAGGACAGTCTTGAATCACTGATACCATCCTTCCCCATCCCCCAGCACCAGCTGTACAGCATGGAAAGGGAATGCGTGCTCCTTGGGGAGGGAGAGCACAGTGACTGGGGGACTTTAAACAACTCGGTACTGCCCTGTCGCAGCTGAGAATAAATCCATGCTGGGCTCAGCCAGTGCCCGCACACGGAGGGGGCATTTGGACCAACCCCAGCCAGAGGGAAATCGCTCGACCTAGTGGTCTGAACTTGAATTTCTCAGCAAGCCTCGCCACTGCTGAGTTGCTCTGGGATCATAGGTAAACTTGAAAGGCCGTGTAGGACTCGAAGACTAAAATTCCTATAGTGCTAGACTAGGGTTAGAGGCAGTAAACCAGGGTGGCACGTGACCTAGGGAGACACCAGCTGGCATGGTTTAAGGAGGGCTTGTAATATACCTCCTCCAACTCCAGGCAGTGCAGCTCATGGCAACAAAAGCGACTCCTTTCTACTTAGAGAGAGGACAGCAAAGAGGAAAGAGGACTTTGTCTTTTATCTTGGATACCAGCTCAGCAACAGTAGGACAGGGCACCAGGCAGAGTTGTGAGGTCCCCCTTTTGGGCCCTAGCTCCCAGATGACATTTCTAGACATACCCTGGGCCAGAAGGGAACTCACTGCCTTGAAGGGAAGGCTCCAGTCCTGGCAGGATTCATCATCTGCTGACTAAAGGGCCACTGGGCCCGAATAACCATCAGCAAAACCCAGCGGGTATGCTGTGGGCCTTGGGCTCTGATACGTGCTAACTTCAGGGGAGACCCAGAACGTTACAAGTTGTAGTGGCTATGGTGAAAGACTCATTCTGTTTAGGAAAAGCAGAGGGAAGAATAAAGAGGGCTTCATCTTGCACCCTAGGTACCAGCTTAGACACAGTGGGGCAGAGCAACAAGCAGGCTCTTGGGGACCCTGAGTCTAGGCCTAGGCCCTTGGACAGCATTTCTGGATCTGCCCTGGGCAAGAGGGGAGCCTACTGCCCTGAAGGGTGAGTCCCAGGCCTGGCAGCATTCGCCACAAGCTAAGAGAAGAGCCATTGGGCTTTAAGCAAACACTGGCGGTGGCCTGGCAGAACCCCCTGTGGACCTGTGGACCAGTGGTGGTGGTGGCCACGGGGAGAGGAGAGGCTCCCCTGCCTGTGGAAAGGGGAGGGAAGAGCAAGAAAGACTTTTTGTATTACGATTTGAGTGCCAGCTTAGCTGCAGTGTAATAAAACATCAAGCAAATTACTATGGTTTTTTACTCCAATCCTTGGCTCCCAATAGCATCTCTGGACATGCTCAAGGCCTGGGAGAACTCAGCGCCTAGAAGAGAAGGACCTTAGGCGAGGACAAGTGCTATACTGGCTTCAGGTATGACCCAACGCAGTCCCAACAGTGGTGGCCACAGGAGTGCTTGTATCACGATATCCCTAGTTCCAGGTGGCTTAGCACAGAGAGAGAGATTTGGTATGTCTGGGAAAATGTTAGTGAAAAGAACAAGAGTCTCTTCCTGGTAATCCAGATAATTCTTCTGTATCTTATCTAAGACCACCAAGGCAGTACCTCTACAAGGCTGCAAAAAATCACAGTGTTATGGGGCTTGTGATCCAAGTCTCTTCAAATAATTGGAGAGTCTTCCCTAGAAGGATAGGCACAAACAAGACTGGACTGTGAAGACCTCAAGAAATACCTAACTTTTCAAGGCCCACTCACTGAAGAACATCTACAAGCATCATTACCATCCAGGAGAACATGACCTCACCAAATGAACTAAATAAGGCACCATGGACCAATCCTGGAGAAACAGAGAAATATGACATTTCAGACAGAGAATTCAAAATAGCTATTTTGAGAAAACCCAAAGAAATTCAAGATAACACAGAGAAGGAATTCAGAATTCTATCAGAAAAATTTAAGAGAGTTTGAAATAATTAAAAAGACTGAAAGAGAAATTCTAGAGTTGAAAAAAAGAACTGACATGCTGAAGTATGCAGCAGAGTCTCTTAATAGCAGAATTGATGAAGCAAAGGAAAGAATTAAAGTGAGCTTGAAGACAGGCTATTCAAAAATACACAGTCAGAGGAGACAAAAGAAAACATAATACAAAACAATAAAGCACACCTTGGGCCAGGTGCGGTGGCTCACGCCTGTAATCCCAGCACTTTGGGATGCCGAGGCGGGTGGATCACAAGGTCAAGAGATCGAGACCATCCTGGTCAACATGGTGAAACCCCGTCTCTACTAAAACTACAAAAAATTAGCTGGGCATGGTGGC